TTTGTTGCTTTTAAAATGCTGGCAATTATTCAAACATGTTTAGTTAATAATTTTGATATTGATGATAATAATGGTACAAAATAATGACGATAATATTAGCAAAAATAATAAGTATGCTTTGCATTTAAGTCAGTCGTTACTTGAAGCAGCTTTAAACAATTTTTCTTGGCTACTGCCACTTTTAGTCTCCATAAATGTGAATTCGTATTACTCTAAAATTCAAACCCTGCTTTTTTTGAGTTTCAGGCTCTGCCGTTATAGCCACTTTTTGGATTTTTAAGAGTTATATAAATTTTTTAAGAGGATGAATTTTCTTCATCCTTTCATAAAGTTTTCATAATTACAAATTTCATTTAGTATATATAATAAGCAATTTAGGAGACTCAATTTTTCATTTGTAAAACCTTCTCTGTACTTTTTTAGGGTTAAAACAATGGCTATTAAAAACGATTTCCAGTTGTATCAAATAAGTCAACCTGTATTAAATTATTCCAAGTTTTACTGAAGTAAATTTGTATCAATTTTTAAGCAATCTAAAATGTGTCTTTTTAAGGACAATCAATTGAATACGAAGTAATAAAGAATAATTAATTTGATGTTACCGTAAATTTTTTTAATTTTTTGTTTTACTGCTATATTTTACAATTTTTTTTCATGACTTAGAGTTGTTCAGTTGTCAAAATTAATTTGTTTTTTATGCAGTATTTTAATTCATTTAACTTTGAAGTTATATGCTTGCCCAGTACTTCAAGAATAGAGTAATTACACGTGTACTTTAATTATTTAACAAATCAAGCTAATGATACTGATTAATAGTTTCAAATCTGAAATATTTTGATGATTATTTATTCTATTATTAAATTTTTGTGTAATTTTTCTATGGAAAATTTTCATATTTGAATGACAGATTGAGTTTACTGTCTTTCACGTATATAAATTGTGTTGTGTAATATTGTATCTAAAACTTTATAGTTTTCTTCTGTAGCATAGCAATTTTCTTTTATAACAGATTTCTAAATTTTCTTTTGTACCTCAAGATTTACTGATACATTAAACGATTCTATATATTTTCATCTTAATTTTGATCATTATTTTAATATTAATTTTGGTGCTTTCGAGTATACTGCACTAAACTAATAATTCTTGGAGCTTCAAGATATTCACAGTTTTTAGTAATATTCCAAACTTTTGTTTCTTTTCATCCAAGAGCTTAGAAAAGAATAGAAAAATATGAAAAATATTTCTTTTCAGTTTTTTTGATTATCTGTACACAACTTTTTTTCTATCGTATACATGTTATTGAAACTTGAACGAAAGTTCCGTTTTTCTTCAAATGCAATGACCGTATTCAAAATTAAACTATTTTGCTTTCAATTCAAAATTCTCAAAAAAAAAAAAAAAAA